GGAAAAATATGTATTTATTCTGCACACGCATCTTTTTAGTATTGTTTTTTGAGAAGTGGAACAATATTTCAGATAAAGCCCTGCAAACTCTTATTGAAATTATTATTACAGTGCTTTAAGAAGTCCTAACACTATTACTACAGAGCACCGCCACATGTAGCATTGCATTTAATAGATTGGCTCGCTGTTTCCGACATTATCGAAAACGTTTTCGATAATGTCGGAATCGAATCCGCGATATTGCCCGAGTGCTTGACCACTACTGTTCTTTGAAAAACAAGCCTCGGGAACGAAGCCAGATACATCAAAGTTCAATGACTACAACTTATCCGATCAGCCCTCCGTACAACGTTTCCGTAACTTATTTTCAGAAGGGCTTGAAAAATTTAAAATAAATAAAAAAAACATTGTTAATGGCTAGTCAACCTTTTTAAAGATTTTGTCAATTTTTAAATGTTTTTTAAGGATTATATGTAATATTTTTTATCTTTATGATTTAACATTACATTCTTTATTCAAACTTGGCTTGGTTTAATAGTTACTTGTATAATAGGAAGCAATAAATTTCTTACGATGGTGGTATAACAGATAATATGATCAACATATGCGGTGATCCCCAGAGATCAATTCTAGGGTCCCTTTAGTTTCTAATTTATGTTAATGACTTGTATAAATTTTGTAATGTTTTAAACACAATTTTATTCGCCGATGACACTAATTTATTTTATTCTCATGAAAACATTAATATTTTATTCTTAACAGTTATCAAAGAACTTGATAAACTAACCAATGGTTTAAATCCAATAAATTATCCTTAAACATTGCTAAAACCAAATACACATTATTTCATTGTGTTCATGAAAAAGAAATAATTCCATTGAAATTTCCAAATCTTTTTATTGATAAAAAGAAGGGAAATATCAAATTTTCAGGCGTAATTCTCGATGAAAATATTGCGTGGAGAGAACATACAAGTGTAATTGAGAATAAAATTTCTAAAAATATTGGTATATTGTATAAAGCTAAACAGTTCTTAAACCAATCTTGACTTAAATACATATACTATTCATTTATACACTGTTACTATGCTAACATTGCTTGGTGCAGCTCCAATGTTACAAAACTAAGTAAACTTCTCTGCAAACAAAAACATGCCATTAGGATTATTACAAATGAAAATCGCTTCTCTCATACAAAAATACTTTTTAGCAAACTTAATATTCTAAATGTTTTTAAATTAAATCTCTATCATATTCTTATATTTATGTTTAAACTTGATAAAAAAATGACACAACTTTTATTCAACTTTTTATTTAAAAAAATAAATTATATATACAGCACAAGGTTTTCAAATAATAACTATACTCAATCCAAAACCTATTATTCTGCCACTAAATACTCAATCACAAACCGAGGTCCTAAGTTATGAAATACACTTTTAAATAATGATATTAAAACACTTTCTTTACTTAATCAATTTAAAACTAAACTTAAGAAAAATCTTTTACTAAACGACAATGAGCTAAATTTTTTCTAAAGCGTTTAAATGAGAGTACTATTATTAATAATTTTCAGCATAGCAATTATGTTTAACAATTTAATTTTAATGATTGTTTATTACTAAGATTATTTATTCAGATTCATAAATATAATGAATAATATTACTGCTTTTTTTTATTTTTTTTTTTGTTTTGTTTTACTCGTCTTTTTTTTTTGTTTTGTTATTTTGTTCCCCATTAAAATATATTTTTAGTAAACTTTAACGTTAAAAAAAACGGTCTTTATAAGCATTGTAACTTACGGTGTATTTATTATGAGGTTTAGTGATAAGACAACTAGAGTCTTCTTTTTGTCTTCGTCATGTTTTATTTTTATTCATGTTCTTTGGTATTGCAACTACTCGAAAAGCGACGAAATATATATATATTAATAAAAAAAAAAAAAAAAAAAATCAGATTATTCAGTGCGATTAGTAAAATAATAAAAAAAAATGTTCCATGTTGCTTAATTTAAAACCTGACCTTCTGATGTACAACTGTCCACCTACCTTAAATATGTATTTCCTAAAACAAAATTATACTGCTATAGCAGTTTTGCTACAGTATTATTTATAACTTTTTATAGTATTGCATTAGTATTATATAACTATAGTATTTATAGTGCCATGGTATTTTAATATAGTTTTTATTGTTGATTTTGTAGTTGAAAAATCTACTAAAAAAATCATGTTACAACTATTATATAAATAATTACAAAGAATGTGTTCAAGCAAAGAAAAAATGCTTTTACCTTTACAATCTCTTCACTAAGATATTCAGCGATAAATACAAAGAATTTTAACAGAAAAAATGTTAACGTTGAAAAAATATGCACTGCTGATTCTATTGAACATATAGATTATAAAAAAATTAGGCAAAAATCAATTGAATAGTTAAACAAAAGAATCCTAAATAACTGGAGTTAAAATCATTGTTAGGCGTATACGGAAAAAAGTTTGAAATCTTAACGTAATGCGCTAGTTTTCACAACTGGTATTGACTAATATAGATATTTAAATATTGCTGAAAAAAAACAACGTTTATGTGCATAAATACCATTATGCATGAAATAATATTATACTTTTGTTATGTATGTAATGAGAAAAATCAAGTGTGCTAAAATTAAAATTTGCAGTTTTAACTTTAATATGTATACAGTCTTACACATATTAGTTAGACGATGTCCATTGTTGACAAATATTTTATGCTAAAAGTGCTAACTATACAACACAAAAAAATTAATTTGCTTTTTAGAACTATTATTAATTAATGCTGTTGAGATAAAGCGCCAGGCAATATCTATGACAGCCGGTATAAATTAATTAATGAACAAGTTAGTTCAGTCACTAAATAATAAAAAACGTTAATAGAAAGCTTTCTTGGTTTTTATCTTGTTTGTTATTGCTTCTAAGTCGACCGATTGCAAATTTAATTTAAAGCTTTTAACTGTAGTAGATTGAACAACTTCGGCTGGTAGACTATTTCATCCATTGACAACTCTATTGCTGAAAAAATATTGCCTTTTCAAACAATTTCTGACCAATTCAGGTTTCATTCGATGTTTTGCTCCTCTAATGTTGGCTGCAGGACCTGATGAGCAAATAGAGTTCATTGTTTGATTTTGTTTTATATCAATGATTTCAATACCTTTAAATATTTTGAATTGCTGGATTAAATCGCACCTTAGTTTTCTAGTCTCCAAAGTAGTCAAACCCAAAATTTCCAATCTTTTTTTGTACTCAAGATGTCTAAGCTCCGGTATCATTTTGGTAGCTCTTCGTTGGACTTTTTCTAGTTCATTAATATCTTTTGTATAATATGGACTCCATGCTTGAATTGAAAACTCTAAATTTGGTCTAACATATGTACAATACAGTGTTTTTATTAGATCTTTATCGATGTACTTGAATGTATTATTTAGTAGTGAGAGTATACTATTTGCTTTACTAGCTGCATATTTTACTTGTTTGGCCCATTTTAAACCACTTGATATATAAACACCAATGTCTTTTTCTAATTTTGACTTTTCAATTTCCATTAATGTATTGTTATTGTTCATAAAATATGAATATTCGTTATTATTTGAACCAAAGTGCATAATTTTACATTTTTCAAAATTTAATCCTAATTTCCATTTTGTTGACCATTCGTCAAGTTTATTTATATCATTTTGAAACAATTGTGAATCATTTTGAGAAGAAATAGGTGCAATTATCTTATTATCATCAGCATATAAACGACATTCATTAATAAAATTTTCTGGTAAATCGTTTATAAATACCAAAAAAAGGAGAATTGAAAAATATTAGCCATAACTAGCAATGCATGAAGTCATATTATTAAAATTTTTTTTTTTTTTTTCCTAAAGCTGAATTACTAGTGCCTTTACAATTTTAATACACATAATAAATATGCACTAGAAGTATCAAATAATATATTGCATTTGCTAATTGATAAAAAGTGTTTTATTTATGATGAATAATGCATTAGGTTTTGATTACTTTTTTGTAAAGATTTGTTTTACTACTAATAACTATTGTTTTTGAAATTTTTAAAAAACTTTTACTTTTAATTTTACACTTACATTTCTAATTTTCTTCTTTTGGTGTATTGTTTTATAATGAAAACAATAATATATAATGAAGATATAAATAACATATTTTGTCAACTATTATATTAACATATTTTGAAATTACTTTTTAAGTAGGAAACTTTTGAGATAATAGAAAATGATCGGAGGAGTATCTTAAAGATTTTGGTTGTTAACAAAATCTCGTTTTATTTTAAATTATTTTCATTTTTTATCGATCGGAAAGTGTTGGCTATTTAATCTGATTGAATCCAATTTAACATTTGCATTAAACTTTATGAATAACATACTGTATTTAACATATTTATGCATTTATGTATTTATGTATTAAACTTTATAAGTAACATACTAAGACCGTGGGCTAACTTCACTTAATGAAATAAATGTACTAATACTTTTTCTTATAATGCAATCTTCATAAACAATGTATCCGTTTGTACGATTTATGGAATTTAAGTAGATTGGACAAAAGCTAAGTATTATTCAGTAATACTTTATTCAAGTCCTATCTCCTTTTTTTTTTGTATCAACATTATTTCAACATGAAAATGAGGAACAAACCCATTTTACTATGTTAATATCTTTGAAACACTAATTATTTCAAAAAAAGTACCCAATATTCGAATATTAAAGTTGTTTACGAAAACTAAAATAACAAAATGTCTTATATTTAACTAAAAAAAGCGGCTATTTGGTTCATTTTCTGCCCTATTTCAATTGCTAAAACTGGACGTTGTGAATTTACCTAATGCAAATTTATCCTAAAATGAGTTTTGATATTTAAATTTCATTACCAGTGTTAAAATTAAATTATACCTAAAGATTCAATCAGACCAAAGCTACTAAAACAAAAATGTGAAAAATAAACATACCTTGGATAATATTGATTCATACATAAATAAATATAAGAGTTAACTGGATCCCAACACAATTCTCTTGCATAACTTTCTAAAGTTATAAAAATGCACATACTCACAAAAAATGTTTTAAATCGTCTCTTCCAGGAACTTTAATAACTAAAAACCTAGTTATGTCTATAGTTAAATCAATTATCTTATTCTAAATTTGAATTCATTAAAATATTTTGTATTTGATTTATAATCTTTAAGCGTTGAAAAGAAGCCAAAAACCACCTCATTTTGAAGAAATAAGATTTTTCAGTTTTTCCTAAACCTAGATTCATGTGACTAAAACCCTATTAGCGTTAAACAATTCAATTATAAACAATTTAATAAAAAGTTACCTGCAAAAAACTGGAGATCTGAAGCAAAAGAAGTTTTTGGATAGTTAAAACATTCGACTTGTTTTTGAAACGTCTTTGTTATTTTACCGGGTTTTTCTGCTTCAACTCGATATGAAAACACAAAGGGGATTTCTAATGTAACCATACCACTAATTGGACACAACGTGTGATTAAAAACAGCAGTAAAAGTGTAATTAAATGAGTCCCAAGATTTGAACACCCCACTAAACTATATATGTATATATATATATATATATATATATATATATATATATATATATATATATATATATATATATATATATATATATATATATATATATATATATATATATATATATATATATATATATATATATATATATATATATATATATATGTATATATATATATATATATATATATATATATATTTATAGATATATATATATATATATATATATATATATATATATATATATATATATATATATATATATATATATATATATATATATATATATATATATATATATTTAGATATATAACTGTATATATTCTCTATATACAGTTAAGTAAGCTCAAATATAATATTACTAGCGATACGCTATCATGCATGCCGCTTGTAACTTAGTAAAGGGTCTACATGATTTTTGGCCAGGACGCAAGCGTTCTAAAGAGCGCCAAAAATGAACAAAAAAAACAAAGAATACTGAAATATAAGACTAACTAAGAGTACAAAATATATATTTCTATAAAAAGATTTAATTGAGATAAAATATTTTAAAAAACGTCTTGTTAGTACTTTTAGACCAAAGCCATTTGCCAGGGTATGCGGAGCCATATTTTATACAAATTATTGAAGAATACATATATTATTAAAAACATAAATTATTAGCTAATATCTACCTAAAGCATTTTCCAAGGGAATTAGAGTTTTACAAAAGTTTATGATTGTGCAAATAGAACTTTACAAAACCTTAATGTTTGGTTGCCTCTAACACTCTGCTTTAGAGTTAATGTTCGGCTGCCTTCTAACACTCTGTTTTACAGTTAATGTTTGGCTGCCTCTAACACTCTGTTTTAGAGAGAGTGTTAAAGATTGTGGAGGATTTAGAAGGTAACTAATTGTTACCTTTTGTATATAGTTATACTATAAGCTTTTAAGCTGATTAAATTGACCCGATAAACTTTAGCATTGGGTTTAAGTTGATCATTTTAAAGCTGAAGCTGAAATATCAACTTCATTTCCTATTTTTATTGAAATATTAATTACTACATTAAATATACTCTGTTAAAGATTTTGTAAATAAATTTTGTAATAAAAGTTTAAATTTAGAATACTACCAATTACAATAACAGCATATTAAACTTACGGAATACTTCATTCTATTAGTTTGAGTCTTTGAAAAACCTTGAATATAATTTTCAGATGAAATTGTGAAAAAAATTGGCAAAAAATATTCAAATTCTAAATTAACAGCTGATGCTTTCAAAAAAGTTGGGTATATCTGTAAATTTAACGTCGTTTCATACCTAAAAAAATAAATAGTTAATTGATATATGAAAACTAGACACAAATCATATGTTTGAAACATATATAGTTTTACGGAACAGAAAAAAAAGATTTAAAAAGGTTAAATTGGGTCAACGGCAACATTTTAGACAGTATTTTTTCAAAGATATGCAAACAGTACGGATTTAAAAAAAATAACTCAACATAACACGCAGGGTTAAGGTTAGTTACCCTAACCCTGACTTTAACTGAAAAGAGTTATTACTAAATCCTTCGAAAAATCAAAATTTACTTTAGGCATTTTTAAAGACCTATGATCAATACGCATTCTCAGTAATAAACTAGAAGATAACATTATTATCGGTAAATTCCTAAAGTTTATTAAAAAGTTATTTAAATATTGGTAAACAATTTATTCATATTAATACACACTCAACAACTACTGCTTTAGATATATCATGTTGAGTTCCTCCGGTTACCTACTTGGACCACTGTTATTTATAATTTATATTAATGACCTTTATAAAACCTCTAATATAATGGCAATAATAAATGCTGACGATAGTAACCATTTCGTATCCTGTGATAACATCAATAACTTATTTTGTGACATAAATGTTGAATCAAAGAAAATATCCGACTGGTTTAAATCGAACAAAACTTTCACTTGAAATTAAAAAAACATGGATTTTTTTTCATTCAGGTGGTAAAAAGCATATACTGCCATGTAAAAATGCCGCCACTTTTTATTCATAAAATGAGCATAAAATTACTATTATATTATTGAATGCTTTAAAAAGAAAAACAAATATATTGTTGATTCTTAGATTTTAAAATAAGTTAACTATATTTTGATATTATTGCTTTATATAATATTTTCATATTATAAGCAAAACAAGTTATTAATAGTTTTTACAAAAATAAAATAAAATATAAACGTACCCAAGCATAAAAATACTACTGTTAACTTTCCACAAAGGTTCTGAAAAATTGTATAATGTTATTATATAAATATATATATATATATATATATATATATATATATATATATATATATATATATATATATATATATATATATATATAGATATAGATATATATATAAATATATATACAACTACTATTAACTATATACACTACTGTTAACTTTTCACGAAGGTTCTGAAAAATTTAATAATGTTATTTTATATAAATATATATATATATATATATATATATATATATATATATATATATATATATATATATATATATATATATATAAATATATACATATATCTATATATATATATATATATATATATATATATATATATATATATATATATATATATATATATATATATATATATATATATATATATATATATATATATATATATATATATATATATATATATATATATATATATATATATATATATATATATATATATATATATATATATATATATATATATTTAAACAATTTTAAAATGTATTCTACAAAATAGAGCGCTCAATATTCCTAAAATAACAGAGCAATAATAAAGCAAGCAACAGAGCAATAATAAATTGGTTCTCCATAATCGAAAAAAAAAAATGGCTGTACATTTATTTAATTTGACATTAATGATTTTTACTCCTCAATATATTTAACTATATATTCATATATATATATATATATATATTATATATATATATATATATATATATATATATATATATATATTATATATATATATATATATATATATATATATATATATATATATATATATATATGTATATATATATATATATATATATATATATATATATATTTATATATATATATATATATGTATATATATATATATATATATATATATATATATATATATATATATATATATATATATATATATATATATATATTTGAAAGATGATATCTTGTATGAGAGTATATTATATATTATTTTAAAACATCAAGAAATACAGTTTCTCTCAATACTAATAACTTTATTTTGAAATTTTTGCTGGGTTATGGATACCAGCATCATCAGCTTGTAAAATATTACAATAATTTTTAATCGCTATAGTTTATTTAAAGTTGTTACTATTGACGTCAGCGGTTGCATGGCTTCTTTCGATTTTAAAATTTTAAAAATGGCGTCCAAAACATAGTTTGTACATATTGGCCTTCAAGATTAATTCCGCCGTTTCGTGCAGAGCACATATTGTTTTGTATTTCTAATGCCTCTCTAATTTTTCTTTCAAAATTTTTATTTTCTACTTTTAATGTTCTTGTTTTTTCCAAAACAATATTTTCTTTGCAAAAGGTTTTATGATATGCTAATACAGATTGATTAGGTTTGTTTTCATTAATGCTCTTCTGATGTTGATGCAATCGCGTATTTACCTGCATTTATGTTTCATCTATGTAGACCTTGGAGCAGTTGTATTTTATTATAAAGGTTCCTGGGTGGCTGTTACTTGGTAGTTTTGATTTGTTTTTTGATGTTAATAAAGATCTTAAATTTGGGTTTGATTTAAATACTGCTCTGTACCCTGCTTTTCGAAATATTTTTTGAAGTTTTTCGAAATATTTTTGAATGTTAGTGATTGCCTCTTTTCGATATACTTTGTACTCATATTTTCCTAGTGTGTTATTTGTAATGGATATATAAAGAAAGTTAAGTGTTTTTGTCTCGTTTTCAACTTCAATTGTGTATTGTATTACAGGATGTTGTTGATTTAAAATATCTTGGAACTGTTTTGCTTGTTCGATGTTAGGAAATCTTGCATGAATGTCGTCAACGTATCTTAAAAATGATTTTAGATTAAGTGCAGGATTCATTGTCAAAGCCATTTTAATTGCATTATTTTCATGAAATTGTAGAAAAGATTCCGCAAGAACAACCATGAAAGAAAGTCCGATTGGTCCTGAATTTTCCATTATGTGAATCTCATTGTTCCAATGAAAATGACATTGATATAAGCAAAGTTCTATGAGTTTTTTATTTCAGGTATACTTAGTTTTGTTAAGTTTCTATATAATAAACTGTTATTTAATTGTTCTAAAAGTATAACGGTGGCTTCTTTTAACGGAATTAACGGGTACAGATTTACAACATCATAAGACACTTGAATATCATTGTTATCAAAATTCCAATTCACTGCTTTTTTTATAAAGTCAAAAGAGTTTTTTAATTGTGTCGGATTTTCATTTAAAACTGGCTGTATTGTTTTAACTAACATGTTTGTCGAAAATGGGTACGATGAAAAGCTATTGAGGAATATTACACACCAATTTCATCAAAAAAGACATAATAAAAACACAATTCCATCACAATACAATAATCTTCCTGTAGCGTCTTTACCATGGGTACCAGGCCTTTCACCAAAACTTCAAAAAATATTTCGAAAAGCAGGGTACAGAGCAGTATTTAAATCAAACCCAAATTTAAGATCTTTATTAATATCAAAAAACAAATCAAAACTACCAAGTAACAGCCACCCAAGAACCTATAAAATAATATATATATATATATATATATATATATATATATATATATATATATATATATATATATATATATATATATATCCAATTAAATTGTTAGCGTAATAGACACTTCTTTTAAGCCAGTTGCCGTGCCTTAAAGATACTGTAACAACCAATTTTCTCAAATGGTAGCCATCCAGTCAGACCCTGTTTTAATAGAGTTAACTGTTATTTTTTATGTTTTACGATTTTCAAAGACATTGAATTTTATAAATTAACTGATTTTTTGAACTTCTATTGCTTGTCTAACATAATTGAACTGGTTACTTTTAATTTTATTTTGAAAATATGTGTATGTTGTGTTTTATTTCAAAACCTAGATTCAAAGTAAATTCTTCTGAGATTGCTGTGGATGAAATTTCAGCACTATCTAGAAATAATTTGCATTTGTTCATTAATTTGTTCGGTAGATTGTAAATATACAAAATAAACATTAAAAATCCAATTGTTAAACCCTGTTGTACACTAGGTAATAAAACAGAGTTACAATTGCTTCCAAATGCTTTTTTACCTTTTTTATAGATTGGTGTTTTGTTTGTTGACTTAAATTAAATAGGGAGTTAAACAGTTCTAATGTTTTACATGAGATGGGGCCAAAGAGTGAATGAGTTTGCTAACGGTATAGTAAGACGACAATTGAACAATCCTATTTATTTATTTTCTTAATTTTAGGCCTTATCGATCTTATTGCAGAGCATCTTGGAGGAGTATTTAATATGAAATTTACACCTTCTTTCTAAAAACATGCCCAAAGCTGGGCGTTTTTTTTCAAAATAGGTTATAGGCTTAATGTTGTGAAAATCATGTAGTTTTATTTTCAACTATATATATATATATATATATATATATATATATATATATATATATATATATATATATATATATATATATATATATATATATATATATATATATATCCTCTTTTTCATTCGATGATAACCGATGATATCCTCCTTTTCAAGCCTCCTTTTCAACCGATGTCGCAAAACTTGCCCAGAGGTGGGGTTTGAACCACGAATCTTACGTTTCTGAGGCAAGTGTGCTACCACTTCGCCACGGCTTCATATATATATATATATATATATATATATATATGTATATATATATATATATATATATATATATATATATATATATATATATATATATATATATATATATATATATATATATATATATATATATATATATATATATATATATATATAAAGCAAAAGATAGTCAAGCCAGTAAACAAAAGTAAATCTTTTTTTCTCAAAATCATTATTATTAAAAATATTTTTTTTTATTTTTCCAAAAAATACACAAATACAGAGTATTTTTATATAATTAATTATTTAAATTATAAGCACTAGAGGCCTTTCAAAAAATCATCAGTTGTGCTGTTTTGGTATGGTAGCAAGATTTTTGTATACAAATTAAATTTAGTTGCATATTGTTGCTATAAGTAACTATATTGATAAATTCAATTATAATAATACCCAGGAAGTATCAATTAAAAGTATCATGTTTTTCTTTGTGCAGATGCTTTTCGTATGATAACAAAAAACTTTTATTTTTAAGCTCAAGGAAAACAAAAAGTTGAAAAAAAGGTTCAAAATACATTTTGGTGGGAGCGTTGACAGGTATAAACGTGGTTGTCAAATCTATTAGCTGATAGGCCAGATCTGCAACTAGAAATATGTCCATTTATTCATAATCCTCAATTGTTAGTTTTGCCAGTATATGGCTCGTTTTTTGCATGCCAAACATTTAAGGTAATAAATTACATTTTTGCTGTTGCATGTGATGTGACTTTTTATTTTCCAGATAGTACCATTAGAATTTTCAAACTTATCCACTTCTTGAAGGTAGAGTTTGCATATTGTACATCGAATATCTTTGCACTTAAATATGACAATCTTCTTATTATTTGCTAAAAGTTTCGGAGAAGGGAGTCTTCTTAATAATTAGGAGGTTGTTTAAAAGCTAATACCGTATGAATATTAGAAAAAACATTTTTGACTTTTTCATTCTGAGATACTTTGAGTAAAAGGTTAGTTTCTGATACTTAAGGTTGACAACTGTGATTACTATAGAATGTTTCCACTAAAGGAAATGTTTCTTTAGACTTCTTTTGTGACACTAGTATACAGAACTTTTTTTCTAAACTTATGGATTGGAGTAGTTTCAACTGCTTTTAACATGAAACTTATCCACTGAAGAAGTTAAGTAATTCGAAAGAGCAGCATGGGAAATGTTTATACGTTATATAATGTTTATGTCGGTCTATCTAATAAATAGAAAACAAAGAGTAAGAATAAATGAAGAATTTAGTTGTTACGCGGATATGCTATATGGAATTTTACAAGGTTCAGTTCTCGGTCCACTGTTATTTAAAATTTTATATGTAATTTGTTTATTTTTCTTTGCAACATTGAATTTGCTGGATATGCAGATGACAACATTGCAGATGA